GTCGAACTTTTCCAAGTTGACAACAACCCGTTTGTCGGGACCCTCCCAGCTGTGTACGGCCCGTCGTTTAAGCAAATCGTGAATGTTCTTATTTCCAGCACACGCATCTCAGGATCCATCCCGAACGAATGGGGTAGTTGGGCAGCGACTGTTCAGTCTATCCAATTATACTTGAACAGTCTCACCGGAACACTACCGCCCTCGTTTGGCAATTTTTCGAAACTCCAATCACTTAACTTTGCAATGAACAACCTTTCCGGCGAAGTGCCGGTGGTTGCTTGGTCGAAACTTCGTGGGGTGCAGTCCATCACCTTTCAAGACAACCCTCACCTTTACGGCTCAATCCCTGAAAGCTGGAACTCTGTATTTGTGGCGGGTAGTTTTGTTGGCCTCCCTTCGATGGTGTCTGTTTGCCGTTCTCACATTTGTGCAGCGAAGCTTAGCGCTCTCCCTTTAGGGTACGGGTGCATTCCTGTTTCAGCAATTCCGTTGCTAGCGACTGTCGACGCGTCGAACATGGTTGGCGTCCTCTCGCAGATTACATGGTTACGCAGCGTTGCGTGTAACGCTTCAGTGGCGCCACCAGCGCAGCACACCGTCACTGAATCTCATACACGGTTGATTCCTGTGCATGCAATCGATAGAGCTGCAGCAAAGCTCTCCGAAAGTCAAAGAGTCACTGTGGCCACAGCTGCCGCGATCGGCACCACCATCATGATTCTTCAATTTCTTCCGAGTAGTGTTGGAGGTGCAGGCAGCATGCACGCACTACAAGCGACAACAGTCGTGCAGCACCTCAGGCAGCTCTGTTTGTCGCAAGACGCCAGCGGGAACTCTTACGACTACAGCAATGACGTTGGCGCCAACGCCGACAATGCAGTTTGCTGTGATGCAGGAACAAGCCCGACACAACTTAGCGTTGGTAGTGGGGTGCACGAAGCACCGCTGGCCGGCGCAATTATAGGGAATACTATCCTTGTCGCTGCGATCAGCGGCGCAAGACTGTTGTTGCAATATTTTCTCGTTCGGAAATGTCATCTTCAACTCGTTGAGGAGAGAGACACGCGTTGCGGAACCGATGCTCCTCCAAAAGCGGGTGATAGTCATCATGTGCTCGTTCTCGATGATTGTCCAGCCTTGATGAGTGTATTGCAGACAATGGCACAGCTGACGCACGGAGGGATTGTTGCGTCCCTCTGGGTGCCATTCACGGCCCTATTCACGCCAACGGTAGCAGCTGGCAATGTTGAGCGAAAGTGGCGGCGGGGGTGTAGCCTTGGGCGTTTTTGGTGTCTTGGCGTGGGTAGTGCCCTGGATTGCTTCCGTGAAGGGCGTTCTGTACGGAAGATATGCACGACCCACAAAAGCGATGTTTCGCCGCAGAGCAGGAGTCGGAGAGAAATCGAACAGTGACACAACATTCTTGGCTCGTGCTGAGGAAATGTTCCTTGAGCCCGTTGAAAAGCTTGTCCTCTCGC